ATTTCTAAACCAAGGAGCAATGAAGCAGTGAAAGCTATCGTATAAAATAATAGCAAATGAAAACTTGAAAGAAAGCAATGAAAACTTTTTCTCTGACAAACTTATCACAATACAATTAAAAGATACTAGTGTGTGCCTCTTTCCACCGTCTTGGAGCCCTTGGAGGCCTGCTGGGAACAGGACTTCTAAAAGGCAACTATGTCTGGAAGGCTGTGGTCCAAGGCCATTTTTGCTGGCTATAAGCAGGGTCTCAGTAACCAAAGGGAGCACACAGCTCTTCTTAAAATGTTTATGCACGATGGACCAGCAGTTGGCGTAATGGCTCTGTCGCTGGACTCCCATGTAGTCGATCACAGTTTGAGTTTTGGACCCGCTGGCTTAAACTTATGCCATGCTCATGTGTGTGTGTGCCCCAGATCCTGAGAGGAGGATGGAGGAGAAGGGATTGTGGTGTGGCCATCCCCCTTGGGGGGTGATTTCTTGCTTTCTGTCTCTCTCTCTCTCTCTGTCTTTCTGGTAAGCACACATGCCCTATAGCAAAAACTTCTCAAAAAAAAAAAATCAGTTGATGCACGAGATGAAACAATTCTATTTAGGCAAGAGGTGTTCTTATGTGTACAAAGCAAAAAACAACACAGTGAGTCCTGGTGGCAAACCAAATAAAACCAGAGTAATCTGGGGAAAGGTTACCCGTGCCCATGGAAGCAGTGTCATGGTTTGAGCCAAATTCTGAAGCAGCCTTCCTGCTAATGGCCACTGGACAGAGAATCTGTGTGATACTGTACCCTCGAGGAATTAATATAATGAAGAGTAAATAAATAAAAATGGAAAAAATAAAGATACTTATATTTGATGTTACCAATTAACCTTGGATTTAAGAGACATATTAGTAGGGAAAAGGTAACAGAAACAGATAAACCCAAAAAAAATTGCAGTCACTTAATATGGTTAAAGTTTACTTCTTCCTCATGAAAAGTCCATTGGGCAGAAAAGAGCCATTGGAATGGACAGAATGGTACCCAGGACACTGTACAACAGTCAGTTGAGAAATTGAGATGGAAATTCTGTCATTCTCTGGCTTCCAGGATTGTTAATAAAGACTGGGATTTTCTGGTAGTTACAAAAGGGTGAATGTAATTTTGTAACTGTGATGGATAAATTTGACAAGTCTTTTTATTCATTTACTTGTTTGTTTTAATGAAGCATTTGTTCATAATAAAGTAGTTTTCCTTTTAGTATAGATTTTTAAAAAGAGCTAGAACTTTAGTTTGCAATGTAATATATCACAAATCAAGGGCATTTATAGAGTATTATCTTGGCAGAAGGATAATAATGCCAAATAAGACAGATACTGTGATATGTTTTATTAGGTTTTCAATATTTATTAGAGATTATTAAAGTATTATTAAGAAAAATATTTTCTTAAACTATTTATTGGTTTTGTCACCCAATTTATTTACAGCATCATGATCTTTCTTGATTTTGTTGCTAATCTAATAGGCATTATCATAGCATTTACTATAAACCCCTAAGCTGTGATTCTCCTCAGGAAAATAAAATAGATAGCTGCATTTTTAAAAGAATTATTTTATTTAACTTTATTTATTTAGTTAGTTAGTTATTTTTAATCTAACCAGAGGGGGACAGAATGAGAGTGAGAGAGAGACAGAGAGAGAAAAGGTGAGAAAGCAAGCTACCAGGTCTGGGACTCGATCTTTGGTTGACTATGTGGGAGTCCAACGCCCTTAACCACCATGCCATCTGCCAGCCCCAGAGAACTGCATATTTTTATACTGCCCTGCAGCATTTTAAATGTAATGCTTTTCACACGGGTCTTTTTTTTTTTTTTTTTTTTTTTTAGATTTCTGCTGTAGGGCACATGTGTTTACCAGGGAGACAGAGAGACAGAAAGCAAGAAATACAATTCAAATATGAAAAATTATTTTCATTTGATAATTTTCTCATTCATAGTATTTATCCCAAATAGTTACATGTTAATGATTCATTATGAGATGGTGGAGACTTACTGAAATTCTCTATAAGGAGTTTAAATTCTTTCTGATTTAAATTTTATGACCCAGGACCAGCAAATGGCATAATGGTTACACAGTAGACCACAGTTCACAGTTACATCATTGGTCCGACGTAGTAGACCACAGTTTGGACCCGGTGGCTTAAAACCCACTCCAGGCCCAAAGGCATGATACCCAAAATCCAGAGAAGAACATTGAGAAGGGATTGCAATGTGGTCATTACCCCTGGTTGGTGATTTCTTGCTTGGCCATCTTCCCTGGGGTGGGGTGGGTGTTGATTTCTCACTTTCTGTCTCTCTCTCTCTCTCTGTCTCTCCAGCAAGCACACACTTTTGACAGCAAAAAAATCTCTCTCTAAAAAAATTGTTGGTATTATCAATTGAGATGAAAATCTGTTGACAGAAAAGACCAATTTGTTTACTTATGTGAAAGTTACGATGACCTTCAGTTGCAAAGAAATCCCTAGGGAAAGTGTCCACTAAAATGTCGAATATTATATAAACAATAACCATTATTAATATAAACATTTTTATTAGTATCCAAGCCAAACACCATATTACAAGAAGTAAAATGAGGATTAGAACATGAGGAAATTGACATGGAGGTGGCTGCACTGACCACTTGGTCAATGAACTAGTGAAGCTACAGGGTCAGTATGGGTAGATTATTGTACACATTTGAGATTTCAAATTAAGATGAAGTAGAAAGAACGAGATTTATTAAAAATCCATTTCCTTTTATGCTGGCAAAAAAAGAGCTAGAGAATAGATAGGGAAACAACTGTTGGGAGATATTGCATAAACTCAGAGCTCCCAGCAGATGGGGAGGAGAGTCTGTGCTTTAAGTAGTTGGATTTCATTTATGGCTCTATTGTTGCAGAAAACCAGACACCAAGTAATGGAAAAACAGCAGTCAGATAGGAGAATCCTTTTATTATGCCGGTGGCATGGAAGAGTTAATACTCTGAATCTCCGCCCAGGCTGAGAGTTAGACAGTCTTTTATGGGTGAATTAGGGAGGGGCAGTTTCTGCATGTTTGGAGTGTCCTATAAAGGAAGGAGATAAGTGTCTGCCCTAATGTGGACCTGGCAGAGAAGCAGAGAATTCAACGTGCTCAATGCCTCTGGTCACTCAACAGTTCAGGGGAGGGACAGCTATCTCGCAGGGGAACAGAAAGCCCAGGCAGCTATCAGCCTTGGGTTGCTTCAAGGTTGCTCGCAAGCTCCTCCGTATCAGAACAGAAGGTTCAGGCAGTTGTCAGCCTTAGGTTGCTCCACATCATTATCATTTAATCCTTGTGTGGTTATAAGCAATTTATTCCAAACTTTCAGAGCTCTGGATTCCTTTTTTCCTTCCCTCCCCTTCCCTCCCCTTCCCTTCCCTTCCCTTCCCTTCCCTTTTTCCTTTCCTCTTTGCCTTCATTCCCTTTCCTCTTTTCCTTCCCTTCCCATCATCCCATTCCTTCTCTTCCCTTTCCTTCTCTTTCTTCTTTTTAACTTGTTACTAGAGGGCACATGAATTTGCTAGAGACAGACAAGGAGAGGAGAAAACACCCCTATGGGGCCTGGTCACCCTGCAATCTCTTCTCCTCCAGTTCCTCCTTTTGGAGTTTTAGGCATTTAGGCACATATCCCACAGAGCATGTTTCTCAAGCTGCAAAAGTCAAGGACTCAACCACAGGATTGGCTGTCTTAACTACCTGACCTCCAAGATGGCCTCAATTTCTCTTTTTCTTTTTTTCCCCTTCTCTTCTCTTTTCTTTTCTTTCTTTCTTTTTTTTTTTTTTTTTTTTTTTTTTTTTTTTTTTTTTTTCTGGAGAGGTTTCTGCTATACATTGTGTGTGCTCACCAGAAAGTCAGAGAGAGACAGAGAGACATAAAGTGAGAAATCACCCCCCCCACCCCCCCAAGGGCAGATGGCCATGCCACAATCCTTTCTTCTCCATTCTCCTCTTGGGATCTTGGGCATGCACGCATATGTACTTGGTGTGAGTTTAAGCTGCTCAGTCCAGGGGTTGAACCCTGGTCAACTACGTGGGAGTCCACTGATGTAACTGTTACGCCATCTGCTGGTCCTAATTTCTCTTTTCTAAAATAAGATATTATTATCCTATTTTGAAGCACAGGAAGAGAAAATAGTAGTACAGAGTTGGGATTAATCAGTCAGATTAATTTCTGTTAATTTATTGCTCACATATATCTCTGTCATTTGGTCATTTGTCAGTCTCAAATTATATTAATAAAGTAATGTTGCATTTTAATAGCTTATTGTTTATAGTACCTAATACATTAGACCCTGTGTATGAACTTTGTAATTGGATTATTTCTGAATTTAAACATGATAATATGCCAGGGTTTCTCAATCTCAGCACTATTGATGTTTTGGGCTATGCAGTTCTTTGTTATTGGGGACAGCCTGGGCCTGGTAGGTTATTTGGCAGCTTCCATGACTCTACTCAACAGAGGTGATTTGTGTCCTCCTCCAGTTGGGACAATCAAAAACGTCTTCAGACATTGCCAAATGACCTTTATGGGGAGGAGACAAAGTTGCCTTTGATTGAAAACTACGGAAATATGCTCCACTCTAAAAGAGTCAGTAGTAAAAATCAAATGAATGAACATGTGTGACAATTGATTTTATAAAATTGCCGTATTTTATGACTCCAACTAGATTTCAGTTATGATTTTTTGTTGCTTCATAAGACCAATTGAATTTCAAGTTTATATTCCTCTGAGAGAGAGAATTGCAAAGATATAACATATAGCAAGAAATATGTTTTTTTTCTATTTGTATACTTTGGTTTTACTTGAAAACACATTTTAAACATGACAAATTCATTTATTTTTGTTTGAATTATTTACTGAGACAAAGTGTTTACTTCTTTCTGTATTTTTATCTTCCATGCATCCTTTCATTAAATATTTAAAATATAATTTGAATAAAAAATTATTTGTGTTTTATTTTCCAGTTGCTTTTTATCCTTATTGTTGGTGGCTGCTGTGGTATGGAAGATCAAACAAACTTGTTGGGCTTCTCGGCGGAGAGAGGTATCAGTAATACTATTTAATCTCTCTTTTTTTTTAAAATTTAAGCCAACATGTGGATCTCTATTACTTAATTAACATCCTCTTTTTAAGTACATTTGCAAATCAGTTTTATTTCCCAGATTAAATAGATCAACATAGTATATTTTGGCCTGTAGAGCAAACTTTTCCACTGTCATTTTAAGTCAGTATTTTTAATAGTAATGGTTACTTTTAAAAAATAGTTTTACAACTTATAGTGAATGTAAATACTAATTCTGCTTGTTAAATAATCTGTAATATCTTTAGCTGTTTGGTTGTGCAGTAAAAATATTTTCCATAAAGATAAATCTGAGTAGTGAATATGTTTGGTCTTAGAAAATATTTTATCCTAGAAATTTACTGTAATATACTTATTTATCAATTTTTTTCATATCTTGATTATTTGATAATCTAAATGTATTTAAAAAGCATATCAGTTTGATTCTTTATCAGAGTTAATCATGTATGGTCTTTGTAATTCTAAAATTAATAAAAACAGTAATACTCTTTAAAAATAATAACTGGGTGATATAAATATATAATTTTAACTTATATTTTAATTACCTAAATGGAATAAGGAATTAATAATCATCTGAGGAGCAAAAATATCCAGTAGATTTATTGCTTGTACATCATTTAATGAAAAATCAAGTTTCTGTTTTTATTAGTATTATAGTAGCATATCTATCAGTATTAATGTTAGTATTCTAATATTAGTGTTTTCAGTATTTTATTTTCTGTTGTTTTCCAATATATTTTTGTGTGTATAATTTTGTGCAAGAATGTAGAACAGCAGCATCTTTGTTTATTATCTTCTTTCATCCACCTATAAAAATATTTAGCTATTTCAAAAATTCCAGAGTATTCTAAGCAGTAAAATTAGTAGAGTAAATACATGAACTCTTAAAATTATTCTCCTATTTTCAAGCACCCATCAAAGCTCACTGCCCACCTATATCTACAAACTTGAATCCCTCTCCCCCAAGTAAATCATTCATCTTAATCCTCTCTGATTTTGTATATATATAGCCAGTGTAACATTAATGAGAATTTACTTATATATACCCATGATAAAAGTGGTCCAGTTGAAAAGGAGTGTATTACATATAAATACTGGGCAGGTAGTGAAATTCTATGTGAAAGCAAATAATCCTCCAGACATGTTAGATAATCTTTTATAGTAAAATTATAGATTAAGAAAGGAGAAAAAATAATGTAGGTAGGGAGTATGAAGGGCTTCCCTAATGGAATAGAGCAAGTAACAATATACATTCCTAATCATTAGAAAAGAAATCACGATTAATCAGGGAGCCTCCATTCTCACTGCATTATGATAAGCACTGTTTTAATATCTAAATTTAGCATCGTGAAAGAGCAGGGTATAACTGTGTCATTAACTTGCATCTGACTATGAGTAAGTCTAGTTGAATTTCCTTACCTCTAAAAAGAAGGGTTTATACTATACTAATTCTCACTTTAGAATCATTTAGAGACCTAGAAGTATTCCATACAGTAGGTAAAGTTTAGAAACAATGTGTAATATTTGAAAAAGCTAATATGAACAGTTCACTTACTGTAAAAATTTCACATTTCTCAAAAATGACAATTTTGGTTAGTGTTATAAAATTCTATTATAGTAATGCTGCATATTGCATATTGATGAGATACTCTGGCAAGCTGATAAAACCTTAGTTTTTAAATATTAATATTAACTTATTTTTTGAATAGACATAAAAATCTTTCAAAATATGTGGTATAGGAAATAATAAAAGATAAATTGTAGTGGAAAACTATGCCAGGGACTGCTGGGCCAGTTCTGAATCTGTGCTTATAAATATTCCTGTGCTCTCTGGACATCTGCTCAATAGAGTGCCCTTCTTTCCAAAACTCATCTAGGTAGTGCTTCTTTCTATTACGTAATATAATAATTTTTGTATTGAATTTGCTACTCTACTAAAATAGATAATCTGTCTCACTGAGAGGACATGACATAGTACAATATTGTGTATTAAAAAACAATTTGAAGCCCCACTGCAATGGTGCAAGTGAAAGGGTGCCATTGTTTGGTAGCTGAGGCCACAGGTTTGGTTCCCCATTGAGTTCTGGACCTGGCGGCTTAAAATTTATGCTGGGCATGTGTGCTTGTGTGCCCAAAATCCCAAGAGGAGAATGAAGGAGAATGTATTGTTGCATTGTCATACCCCCCGGGAGATGATTTCTCACTTTCTGTCTCTCTGTCTCTGTGGTGAGAGCACATGTCCTATAGCAAAAATATCTCTATATAAAAAATATTGTCATGTTTAATAATCTTCATTTTTAAATTGGATTTTAATAGGTATCATGACCCAAACACATCAAGATCAAGATATCATAATTATCCTTTGTAATGAAGATAGTTAATCATATATAGTAGTTGAGTAACTGGAGTGGAAATATTGTTCATATCTTAATAGTTACATGAAGTTAACCATTTTCGGTTAAAACTACATGTTTCGAGTAGTTTAACTGTAGAATGTCTCAATTAAACTCTAACTGCAAAATCCATCAGATAATAGGCAAAGAGTACAGTTATTTTTATTATACCATATCATTAGCAACTCTGTGTATTTGAATGATTACTACATTTCTTTACACTTACATGAATTATTTAGGTACATTAAGAAATAAATAAAGATTGATTTGCTTTCGATAAAGTTTAGTCCAATTAACCATAAAATCTTATATTCCTTATACACTGAAACAAATTTATCTGTATATACATGTATTTGATCTATATGTGTTTAATACTAAAAATATGATTGTTTATCTGAATTTTACTGAGCATCCCATATTTTTATTTGCTCAATCTGACAACCCTACTTCTAACACAAATGCATACCCAGGAGCTCAGTGGTAAATTTAATCCCATAAAATCTACATGGACTGAGAAAGAAAGAAAGGAATAATTTTCCAGTGTAGACTCTTCATTTGTTTTCAAAACCAAGGGGATTTACACTGGACAAACAAATATAAATCATTACTCTTTGTACTATCTTTCAAAGTTTTTAAAAAGAGGGCCAGCTGGTGGTGTGGAAGTTAAGGTATTGGACTCCCAAATGGCCAAATGTAGTTCAAGTCCCAGACCCGGCACCTTGCTTTCTCACTTTACCTCTCTTTCTCTCTGTGTCTCTCTCTGGTGAACATGTGTGCCATATAGCATATTAAAATAATAATAATAATAATAATAATAATGAAGTTAAATAAATAATTCTTTTAAAAATTTTAAAAAGAAATGAACTCTTTGACTCAATAATTAAGTCAAAGTTTATATTCTAGGAATATGTCCTAAAATGTATACCTGCCTACTTTTTTAAAGTATATTTGTTCAGTTAGGGTTGAAGGATCCAAGAGACCCTAAAAAAGAGGCCATATCAGTCCAGCTTGTTGAGTAAGCGTTTAGTAGAGAAATTTATGGGCAGAAACAAAGTTATAGTCAGCCATAAGATGAGTAGGTCTCTAACTCCTTCATCCCCAAAGCATATGCTTATATGGTTAGAAAGCTAGTTGGTTGTATGGGATCTACATACAGAGAGGCATTTGAGGACTCTGTAGAGTAGCTTTGAGTGTCAATACCTATCTTAATTATAATCAGGGATGCATCATCACTCCATGGGCAAGGACAATAGGTATGTTTACTCCAAAACTTAACCTATACTGCAACCTTGGGAATGATGTCAAGAAGTTTGGGATTAAATGCTGGACAAGATAGCAGATTAGTTTTAAGGTGGGGCCACTGTGGTTCCACCAATTCCACATCTGTAGTCTGGTGCATAAAATGTCATGTGCTCTCCTCTTCTGTGTTAGTTCCTGAACCTTTGGAGGGGGCATCTTTAATGGCATGTTGTATTAATTTTTGTTCTGCTTATAGACAGAGGCCACAGCAACAGTAAAGACAATAGCAGACCAGAGTGCCCAGGCAAATAATAAGACACAATAAATAGTAACTTTTGCCACTAGGTTTTCTATTTATTTATTTATTTATTCCCACTTGTTATTATTATTATTATTTTAAATTTGACCAGAGAGAGACCAAGAGAGAGAGAAAGGGAAAGTGACAAAGCAAGCTGCCAGGTCCAGGGCTCGAATTGCTGTCAGCCATGTGGGAGTTCAGTGCCTTTAACCACTATGCCACCTGCTGGCCCATTGCCACTACATTTTCTAATCAAGGGCTCATTGCCTGACATGCCTAGAAACAGTCGTATTTGTTACCAGTTTTGATTGATCATGATTTCTTTTCTAATGATTAAGAACATATATTGTTACTTGCTCTATTCCATTATTGCATGCTCAACTACCAAAGAGACAAGAGGTGAAGCTCAAGTGTGTCTCCTTAATCTTAAGTATGCACAGAAAAATTTCAGGGGTCCATGAGGGGAGGGGGAAGAGGCAAAGGGAATTTTCATAAATATTTATGTGAGGACATATGATAACATGCATGCATGTTCAATTTGGGGTAGAGAGTTTATTTTAAACATAAAAATATTAACTCTCTGTGTCAAAAGGTAAGCCTTAGGGGATGAAAACACCTAAAGCACAGCCTCTTTAATCCCAACTGGAACCAGTCTGGGGTCCATGGACTCTTGCTTTTATTGGAAAAGTATATTGGGGTTATCTGTGGAGTTGAACTTCATTTATCACTGACTAGTTGAAGATTAAGAGGAAGACTGTTTGATTGTGGGATAAATTGTTGTAACCATTAATAAATTTTTCTGCACAGATGTAAAATATTGGGCTCTGGATCTTTTCATTGAGGGGCCTCTCATCTTGGGATACATTCCAGTAGTAGTCATGTTTCCTGCCTCTTGGTTCTATTAATAGGGAACTTTTGGCTCCTGTGGTAATCAAGGTCATCTGAAGGCATTTTGCACAAGTTGATACATTTGTAAAAGACAACTTTGTTAAACAGCCTTCCTAAGACAGAAGGACTGGAATCTTTTATATAA